CTCTCTAGTTTTATAAAAATAGTCAGGGTATACGGGTTACCGTAACCTTCGCGGAGGTAGCCTTCGGAAGCGCGATCATTGCTGAAGATCTGGAATCATTTGTAAACCTCTCGGTGTGCTGTGTACGAACCTAATGGACCAAACAAGTGGTACGTACAGTCTCGCCAAGAATCCGCACGACTCGCTGTGGGATAAAAATTGATTTCAAAGCGGATAGCGCGGCACTGGAACGGCAGAGAAACTGGAAGAGGAAGTAACTGGTGGTTAGCTACTTGTAGGAGCAGGTAGCTCGGGATGCGGTCGATGATGCGGAATGCGCAGGCAAGAAGCGGGTACTACGAGAAACCATAAAGGACTTCCTATACCTGTGAAATGGAAAAGGGATATCGTACTGGAAGTTTTTTCCCGATATCAGAGTATTAAGAGCACGTTCAACCGAGATTTCCTCGCGTTATCATTCAGACCTCCTACCTATCTGCCAACAATGTTACTCGAACGAATCATGCTCAGAAAATTGAATATACAATAGACTGTAGCAACGAAGCCAATTTTATGCTTCTTATTTTCAAGAAACTAACATGCAGAACAAATTGTGTTTAATAACATTTATTTTCTGCAGAAACAAGACCGATGAGGAAAGGATAATCTGAAATTGAATAAATTCTGTAAATTTTATGTTGTATTTTATGTTGTTTGCTTTTGTAACAAAATGCTGCGCAACTTATCGATCAACTGAGAGATCAAAAAATGAGATCAACCAGATCTAGGATAATCCTCGCGTTTCCATTATGAATCTGGATTCTCCTCGATTCTTTTGCTACGTGATGCTCGCATCAAACGTGTCGAAAAGTGGTTACTTCTCCTTTTCCCTCGAGCAAGTCTTTTTTTCGCTTTCTCCTCGTTCCATTCTAATCGATTTTTCGAGCACTCCGCTCCGACCATCGCGTCGTCAACTATTTTATTCAAGAAGCGCTTTTGTGAAATAGAATCTTGTACTCGAGACACGCACTCGAAATGCCATGAATTATTCAAGATAACATTTAACGTACCAAGTGTTAGATACCACATTACGGTAATTCGTCTCCATGAATATTCAGCTCGATCTGCGAATGAATAAAACAATTGTAGGTTGAATTTTTCAGGGAACATGTGCAGTATTCAAATCTTTTGAAACTGGACAAAATATTATTTCAAAAATATTCTCTAAATTATCGCTGTATTTTATTTTCGGTTTGTAAGTATATTTTTTTAAAGAAATTTATACTCTAGCTTCGAACGGACTCGAGCATCGTCGGAGCGATAATCAATTATAAAAATGACACGGAACGTGAAAATTTTAAAACAATTTTTACGACGCATCTTGCCAATACTGTACCTAGGGAAATGATCGCCAACGATCGATTTTATAGCCCGTAGTTCATGGCATCTTTATAGCGAACGCTCGTCGGGCAGTCTATACTTTCCATGCTTGTCCTGTGCATTTTGTTAGATTTAACGTCTACAACACCCGCTTCTGAATGAACTTTTTTCCGTTCGCAGAAAACAGTCTTTATCGGAGATACGTAATGCGCGTGAACCGATGCTGAAATAGTCCATAAACGTTAACCTAGATACAGCCAGCCATTAAATGTAACGAAAGACTGCTTTCTTATCTAGCCTGACAAAATTATCTCGTTTACAGCTCGAGGTGTCTTTAGTCGTCGGAGGAAGTTGTACCTAGCTGTAATGTTGCACCAATAACACGGTGCAAGAAGGAGAACTGGACCGACTTCGTCCCTACTCCTGTGATATCTTAAAGGTTTACTTCTAATATAATCGGCTAGGTGCTCTAGCGATACTTCCGTAGTATCGGAGAGAGTTTCTATTATGTGCGCGTGTATGCGGTACCCACTGCAGTAACAATACCATTTATACCAGTTCATAGTTCTCTTGTAAAATATACACGAATATAAATGTTAATATCTCGTCAATTAACCTAGACTCGATTTTATACGTTGCATACGTTACATTCGTTCACAATTTTTTACAAGATGAATATTATATTTATATTATATTTACCCAACCAAATCGGAGCGGTTTTTTTTCATAATTTAACCAAATCATAGTTCCTTGTAGATTCTCTTAATTTTCTCCGAATAATGCCAATCATTAACAGACTATAAACATCGTCACATTTCTAAGATCTTAATTCTACAAATTGTAGAACAGAATCTGTTCGAAGCCAGAGTGTCGTATTCAACTTCGCAAGGGCTTTGTAGATTTCTAACACGCGCGCGATCTCAAATTGCATCAAATCTGTTAGAATCCAGTGTAATCTCATTATACTTACCAGGTCTACTCGCACTATCTAGCAGATCTCTTCGGGTTAAGTTACACGTTAATGGATTTCTTGAGAGTTAGCAAAATCCTCGCATTCTCACACCTTATCTTCATTAAATCTGATCAGATTTTCCGTAATCCCATAAAACTTCGATAAACTACCATTCAAGCTCGCCAAATTTCAACCGATTTATCCGAACCTCCACACAAGCGGATTTTAGCTAATTTCGGGCTTGGGAACCCGTGTAAGTCGATTAGAGTTTCCTGCGATTATTTCGAATCTAACAAGATTTCTCGCAGATTCTTGTACACTTTTTTCAACTTATAACTAACTATGTATATTTCATACTTAACGATCTAATATAATCTTTAAAATCTAAACGATCGACCAAATATCTATACTATGTTCACAAACAGAAGCGTCTCTCGAGCAGTATATTTTTCAACTGCTCGTCGATACTCGCGTTTATTAACTATGTATTTCGAAGACATAATCTTCCAAGTTCCTTTATCTTCGGGGAACAATGGCGAACAACCTAGCACGAGAAACAATTGCCACGAAATAGTACGTATAACGATGATAAAATCTCTTTGTTCCTAAAGTGGGAACTCTATGGCAAACTGCCAACAGAGAAAAGGGTAATGGCTCTTCGCGTACCGTGATATAAAACTATAGAACGTGTGTATGTATTTATTCTTCTTTGTACACTGAAAGAAATAATGTTGGAATTTAAATAGACGAGTGAAATCACCTATAAAATTATCTTAACTCCGATACTACACCTCACCGTATCGAATCGATTTAATATTAAAGTGTTGTTAATATTGAGCACTGTTCTAAATTAATATTATAATTACACTCATATTAGTTAGTAGTTTATCTTAGTTAATATATTTTTGTAATAAAGAGAATGTAGCACGATTACATTGAATATTTTTTTGTAAAACCAGAAATTTATTGAATTTAATCGTCGGAAACTGAATAATTAAGTGACAATTCGAATAAAGGGTGAAAATTACCCGATCACCCGTCGAAGGGTTAAAACAGATTTTCAAAAGTCAACAAACCCTATGGCGGTTTATGGACGGGACTGTACAGCTTGACGTAACTTTTCAAGCATGATTGTGTAGGATTGACTGAGTTTCCCTAGAACATAACAATTTATCGCACGTAAGAAAGCAGGCACGTCGGAGGTTGAACAATCGTCGCGAATGTTGTAAAATTTTATGGCGCGAGAAGAAAGAGCATGATCGATACAAGCAGGAACTTAATGTATACGTACCGTATATACTTGCATCGACTTCCTACCTTCCTGTCACCAAGTCCTCTCCACATAGGTACCAATATCCTTATGTAACGCAAGATTTTACGATCGAGTGGCTGCGAAAGTCGTGAAATATACGTTGACGTGGTTAAATATTTTTCAGTAAGCTGCAAAATGAATCGATATTTTCTCATACATTTCTCGCATCGATGTTTAAATCCTTGAACGAACGATCGTTTAGTGATCGAAAAGGTAGCGTATACAAAGATCCTTTATATATATAATATAACCTAACCATTCCTGTTAATTGACCAATGGAATTATACATAAACTATTAATTATTCTGCAGATAATTAATATGTGTAGACACTTCGTAATTACATAATTACAGGAACATTAAAATTTATCTGTGCGACATTTCTATTCAAATGAATTATTTATATGAATTATCATTTGTTCAGACGTGACGCAATCCTAGAATTTCTTGTTTATGCAACCGACGAAACACAAGTCACGAATCTACACGCATCACCGGTTGACGCAGGGCTGAATTAGATCCAGTGGCTGTTATTGCGATGTCCGGCAAGCAATATCCTTGCCTGTCGCTAAACCGTGACGCAATAATGCTGTAGGTGTTCGCTGCTTCTTTCTTCGTCCAGAATTTAAGGCCCAATCATCAAGGCCCATACCTCTACAAATTTATTTGGTCATTATGTCTGCTATGCTTCAACGATTAGAATACATTTGAACTGTGCACGATGAGCCATAATATCAGAGTTGGGCAGTAATTGACTATTTCGTGATCACTTTTGTAATTGATTACGAAAATATCGTAATATAATCGTTGCTAGAATGTTATGATATTAAATAGTTAAGTTATATCAAGAGCGAATACAATTCCGAAATAAAAAATATAGGTTTATCATAAAAAACAAAAACAAAAACAAAGTGATCTTGAAATAACCTTGAGAACGCGCCCACGCATTAAAAAACTAGCAGTGCCATATGTTTGATTTTATCGTCGAAGCTCCGTCGTCTCAATGAATTCAAGCGTAAAATGTTTGGCAAAACAGAGTTTTAAGAGTATAATACTTTCAAGGAGTACAATAATGTATCGACTTTTCGACTCTTTCGCGAACGGTAATTCTCCCGTAAGAGATCGGAAACCAAGAATCGCCTTTACCGGCAACGAATCGATCACAGTTACGATACAACACGACCGAAATGGAATTTGGCCATTATTTCTGTCTCAACCATTCTCGTAAATATCTTGGCGAACGTCTGCAACAGGATTAAAAAGTTCGCAATCAATTGCGCTGGTAAGATGGGTTCGGGTACAATCTCGGGCGTGTCGAAGCAGCGCGATACAACATTCCCGAAGAAGCTCGCAATGACGTTAGATCGGTCGTTTTTCAGCATAGATATTTCAACGGCGCAGAAGAACGAAAGCTTGTTCCAGTGCTGCAGCGGGTTCTGCATTGACCTGCTTCAGAAGTTGTCCGAAGAAATCGGGTTCACCTACGAACTCTTTAGGGTGGAAGATGCCAAGTGGGGTACGCTGGAGAAAGTAAGTTCGAACAAATTTCCCGTCGTTACAGTTTCACTGACCACGTCATTTTACAAGAGTTCCCCGAGCGTTACGGTGACTTTATAACGAGTCCTTGACATATTGTAGTACTCGCTAAGTCGACTACACCAGCAACCTCTCTCGGTATTCGACAATTACTTGACAAGGTATCGATCCCCGTCCGCTCCTCGTTTTTCCACCTTAATTTACCTCTTAACCCGTTTACCGTTTATAACGGAACATTTCGACATACCAGAATGACAAATACAATGGGCGTTCCCAGTGTACGTTCCAATGGATCTTGTCGAGAAAAGGGCTAAACGTTTCCTTCGGGGTTATGCCATGATCGTGTCGAGGTTAGAATTAAAGTTCGAACTACGTCTGCGGACTTCGTAACTTACTCTCTTTCTGTTCGCGATGTTTTCAATCTCAATTTCCGCACGTAGCATTTGAACAATATTTCATATGCTTCCCTCGCGTGAGGTAGCTGTTACCATTTCGATTTCCGAGAGAAATGTAAATGGAAAAGTGAGAGAAAATATAAGGTGCAGAATCATGACATCCTGTTCGATACGTCAAAAAAGATTGCATCGCATAGACCAAAAAATTCTGCTCTAAAAAGGCATATACTCGCATCGTCGGATCTGCTTCACACTTACATTTAACTGCATCGCTTACATTTATGTACTACTTTATAAACTAGTGAAAATTGTTTTATGTGTTTACGTTATTTTCAGGTTTTTGCAAAACCTGTACAACATTAGATGAGAAAATTGATCTTAAATTAGGTTAGTTGAATCAGTTTAATATGGTAAAATTTTCTATTAGCTTCTATATGACGAGCAATTGAAATCGATGATCATCGCACACAGTGATTTACACTATACAATACCTACCCAGAATTTTTAATTCTTCGATTAATCATCGGCGACTAAAGAGAATGATACTTATATAATATACTTATATTATATAATTTTTCAACATTATATATAATTTCATTACATTTGTCTGGCTTATTCTTTAACACCAACCTTTTTCACCTCCTCGAAAATATTGAATCTTCAGTTCGAATATGTTTATTACAGCCACTTTTTGACCGTTTCCACGAATTGTCCTGCACAATATACCAACGTATTGTTAACGACACAACCATCGGTTGTCATTGCTATTGGCATTTATTTGAAAGTATAAAATATCTAAAAGTTCTTATATTCGCATTAAAATATAAATACGTACATACGTGGCTCAAAAATACTATTAAAAACTCATCGACGACACAGCGTAACATTTCGGGAGCTCTGCATGGTAGAATAATCAACGTCGCGACGAGCTAATGAAAATTAGATCGGTATTTCGAAATCGAAATGTCCTTCATTTCGAAATGAAGTGCTCTATCTCATAAAATGTCATAACGCGACGTAATAGGGAAGGTAGTCTGTTATTTTTTCTACTCGATCACATAAGTCCTTGCGTTTATACGTTTTGAGCTCCCAATCTCGGTCAGACAAACATTACGGTGTGCCACGTTTCTACGATCACGCAAAGCAAACATCATGAATCGGTGGGAATGGAATCGTGTGTACGATTTCCACTTTCCAAGACATTTTCTTGATATTCCTACCGTGGAACCTTATTAGAAGCAGCAGAATCGAATTGCTACCACAAAATGTGAAGCAGTTATGTGTCTTATAATGTGAAAACATGTACGACCGTTTAAAATATTTACATTTAAATATTTTAAATACTTGCAATTAAATATATAAAACATTTACAATATTTAAGATACGAAAACGTTTTCTGAACGAAGTTTTACAGTTTTTCAGTAAAAAATGTGCAAAAGTCGCATTTATCAATCGATAGATAAACGAAGATGAATAAGTTCATTTCTAGCATGTCGAAGACATTTTCAAAAGCGTGGAACAAAGTTAATCGAACGTATGATCGTTTCCGGTAAAACCAATGGGAGGCTCCGATCCTTTTAACAGCCGGGATTAATTTCAATAACCGTGAAAATGGGCTGGAAATGTCTTGGAAGTAGGAGCATTGCTACACGCGCCACCGGGCAATCCCGTTTAATCCAACCTTTTAGGTTTTAATGCTGCGAAGCAATATCGATGGAACAGCGATATAGATGAATCACGCGTAATTGCGCCGGTGTCCATTAACGGTACACTGGAATTTGCATCGAGAATAGAGCTCCGTGGTGTATGGCGATAGAACGCCGTTACAGCGTCAGCGAATATGCTCTGGCTTATGCGTCTACATGTATATCCGCGTGCAAATTACGGTAACTTCGTAAACTTACGTGTCGAAAAAAAAAAAGAAATTCCGTTGCCAAAGGACAAAGTAATTCATCCGCATGCATCAATAATTGCACGGGTATATGCAGTGTTTGAACGTTCGCACTAGCGAAACCAACCTCGTGAAACTAAAAATCGAGAAAATTAACGATGTTGCAGAACTAAAGAATTTGAAAATTTACAAGCAAACAAGATTTACACGGTGATGATACAGAACTTGATATCGGAAATTAAAGTCTTTCCAGAAATTAATTTCTAGGTTACGTATTTTTTAGTACAAACTTCAAATTGTTATTCGAAATGTAAGATTCCTTTCATTGTAACACAATTATCGATATTTCTTAACGTTCATTATTACGTTTGTACATTTGAGAAGATTGAGTTCAACGGCACGAAGTATTGAAGTAGGATACATCTTACAAACATGTTATCTCAATTAATATAAACAAAATGTTTGCAAATATTCTTGTACAGAAATCTGGAAAATAAACTAGCGTCTTACGTAAATATAAGTAATCGAATAACTGTTTGCTTGATAATACGCTTTATGTAAAATGGGAAAGTAAACATTTAAAATTAAATTAGAAAACATATTTAAAATACGTAATGTTCTATGTAGACAATTATGCAGTTATCAAAAATGTCCCTTGTCGAACGGTTAAAATAGAATAGTAACTTATAAACTCTCGTAACAATATTCGTATTTTATCACGCAATACTTTGTAATGTAATCTATTCTTACCATCGATAGGAGAATGGAAAATGGAACGGTCTAATAGCGGACCTTGTCAATCGGAAGACGGATATGGTGATGACGAGTCTTATGATTAATTCCGAAAGGGAAGCTGTCGTTGACTTTACTGTACCGTACATGGAGACCGGGATCGCTATCGCGGTTAGCAAGAGGACCGGTATAATATCCCCTACTGCCTTTCTTGGTAAGTGTACGCACGAGGACAATTTATTAACTACTTGCTCGTATCGATTAATCAATGTTTCAGTTTAAGAAAACATTACACGACGATGAGTTATTTTAGACTTATAATGGCTCACGAAACCATTCAAACGTGTCGTCCTTTTGTATATTTTTTTTTTTACCAATATGTCATGTGCGATATAGCTCCACGGACGAATTATCAGAGTGGACCGGACACCGTACGGTGTTTCCTATTACATGTTTGTGAAATACTGACGTCGCTAAAAACCAGAGATTTTCTCGCTCCCCATGCCAAAATAGAACAGTCGGTTAGCGAACAATAGTCCTCGCGCGAGAACAAGGCACATCTTTGTGTTTATATTTCCCCTCTTGCTAGCTGCTCCACTGCACTCGGTATACGTCGAGTAATTATTGCGAACCACAGCTATGCATCCCGCGGTAAATGAGATGTCTTCGGTCAATGATAGATCTTCGGAGGATAGGGATGATCAGCTGATGGGTTGTGGCGCTGAATCCATGGTCAATTCCCATAGTAGACCTAATATAGATTTACCGTGGTTAGTATGGAATACAAAGGGGTGAAAAGCAAAATAGGGAACCCAATATCAGCACAGGAATGCCAAGCTAACCCACGCACGAGTGCGAACCTCGTACCAGGACACGAGTGCCGAGCTAAACTGCGCACAGGTGCGATTTTTGTGGTATTAGAATGAAGATAAATCGAATCGGACTAAACGAGAGAAACGAACAAGAAACGAAATCTAAAACACTTAACTTAAGAATCCAAACAACGCCTCGGGTGCCTCGGGGACGGTACCCCGATACCAATTCACGGGCCTCTCTCGCGAGCAAGCCCCTGTGGAAACACCGACCGAAAGAATACCAATTATTAATCGGAAAACTTAAAATTGAGAACGGAACTTCGGAGCAATTACTCCGAAAACAAAATGATGAAACGCGATGGCATAGCTGGAAATAAGTTTAATAAGTTTACCATTCGTATTACCCATCGTTGAGATTTCTCCGTTCGATGATAATTATGTTTAAGTAATACATTCGTATTCGGATCAAAATTAATTTACCTCAATCTACAATTTTATATTTTGGATTATATTTTGGGGGAACGGAATTGCGCAAACAGAGTAAACTTTACGTATCGATCGTCGTTTAAAAGTTGAAATTCGATGAATGAAAATTCACTAACCTTGATATAGAAAATATTCTATCGATCAATTTATTATTTCTAGTCGTTTAATAATAGTTATAACAATTTCTTTTCCAAACGACTGTCTGGTTTAAAATTTAATGTTTAAACAAACATAGCCGACCGAACTCGAGGTACAGAAAAATGTTTCAAGCACAAATATTTCAAAAAACTGCTTCGGTAAATCACCTTTGTTGCACACAGATTTCGAAGTTTGCAAAGCTCCTAGCTTCGAAGATTTAAAAGTGCCGTTTGAATATACGAGCCGCACGAATTTGTGGCTTCCGAAGCATAAAACGTGCCATAAAGTATATGTAATACTCGCTTCTCGCTAACTAGGGAAAGCTCTCAACTTGTCCGACTTCGATTTTAACGAGCTTTCGTACAATGGTAGAATGTAAGCCCTCGATGATGCCTATGAAACATTAGGCGTAGGTACTCGATTGTTTCAGAAATACAATCGATTAAAGTTGCATACCTCTTGATATAGCATGCGACACGGAAATGGTAACGGGGTTTTTTAAGCCCCACTTTTGGAGGACAAAATAATACATCAGGTGTCGAGTCTACTCCTAAACTTCGTCCGTGGTGTCGGTGATAGCTCGTCATAGAAAATGATACTTAAACCACCTATCGGTCGAAAATCTTATTAATTAGCTGTAATTCTTGTGACCGTTCGCGTGACGATCATCTCCGTCAACACCTAATTCAGAGCCCTATATTTAACCATATATTTAACAATTTGTCTTAAAACACAAAATTTAACAATTATTTGAGGTATGCGTAAATCTCATAGCACTCCATTGAATGTATAATAGTGGGAAAGTATAATAAAAAAAAAGAACAGCAATCAAAAGTAACGAAATAATTACAAAATTGTAACTTTCAGAACCGTTCGACACTGCATCATGGATGCTAGTCGGCATCGTCGCCATCCACGCAGCCACTATAATGATACTCTTCTTCGAATGGCTGTCACCGTCTGGTTTCAACATGAAGGTAAACCCTTCAGGCGCTGCGCAGAGACTGGTATTATTAATTTCGCTTCTTATTACTTGTGTATGGTGTTTTTCCACCTACGAGCACCGATTCCTCATTCAGCAAATTACTCACTGGACAACGTCGTTAATCTTAATGACACTTTACCTTCCGACACTGTAACGAAGAAGAAATTATTATCAAAGGACAGCGTTCGGTTCTATTAACTGTTATGCACATATTAACGTTGGCTGCATTATTTCGTTGTTTCTGTTTCGAAAGTAACATTTCGTTTTATTAGTTGGGTACTTTAGTTATCGACGGCTCGATTTGCGACGACGGTTTTCATATTTGTGAAATATTATTTTCCACTTGTCATTTTTGAAAACACCGTGCACCCGATTCTTTCTCATTTAACTACCTCAAACACTGTCGTATGCAATTTCACGAATTTACGATAAAACTTTTGCTTCGCAACTTTGCGAGTTCTACCTGACCTAATTCTATGTTTTTTCAGTTCTTCGCGAAGAATGCTGTCTCTCACGGTTTCATAATACTCCCTTGAAGAATCGCTTTAATAATGCATTTTCTAAGAATTTATTAACACGTATTTTTCAGTCGACCGCTGTACATTAAACATTTGCGCTTTCGATGTTCACGTTTCCGAGTCGTCATCTTTCACCCGGCCTTATACGTTTCAATAACATTTCATATAGTTCTAAGTAAATGAATATACAAGGTGTACAAAGAGAATATTCGGATAGATGGAACAAATATCATGAGTCGTAATTAATGATTTTTACCTTCGTCATCAATTTCTTTCAAAGTTTCATGCTTATTAATGTGCTTCGAAGATTATACCATTTTTTGATATTTTTCATATTATCACAGTTGACAACGTTACATATATTATATAATATGGAGAAATGTAGAAACAGCGTAGCTTTGTATAATTTTCTTTGCAAAAGCTTCGACGGTAACACATATTTAGTCAAAATGTATCGAAGTTGTTTATAATATTAATATACATATTGAAATGTATTCTTAAGAGATTTGCATGTTATTATAAAATTCGAAAAAATGTTCGACTCGATCGATCGTGAGAAACATAAACTATAAACGACAAGTTTTCTCTTTCTTCGATAACTTTAATCAACTAAAAATAATACATTGGCATTTTAAAATTCTCTCGACGCGTCTACTATTTTAAATTGTAACCATCCAATTTTGCCGTCGATGCGTAAAATCCGCAGTCCAGTTAGAAATACATAGATGATTATAAATCAAGTCTATTTTTCTATTGTTTTATTTGAAGCGTTGCTTACTGCTTCACGAACAAATACGTCCCACTTCTTGGTAGCTGATCTGAAAAAATTCTCCGAGTGCAAAGGAGAACTGGTGCAAAAATAATGTCGAGCATTTTTGTCGAGAGTTCGGAGAGTTTAGAAAGAGACCAGGCAGAATATCGGTCGACGATTTCGGTTGAAAATATTTGTACCAAGGAAATAAAAACGCGAAGATACGAAATTACAAACATAAAACGACAAAAGCTGTAGAAATAGATAGTGGCCGAATGTACTACCACGGTTTCCGATACATCCTGTGTAATCGTTTAGCCATACGCGACAAGCTGCCTATCAATGTTCCCGCTACGACCGGTGAATAGCGTGTCTCTTCTGAACGATCGTGTCCCGTACACCGTCGAACAATATCTGTTATTATCGCATCGTTGTTGCTGCGCTTCGCCAACGTAACAATACCACATGGATCATAACCACTGGGTCGCATTTGTTATAGAAGAACCCGTCACCAAACCACCGTTTCTCGTTCTGCCGCACTTACTGGTTGGTCTGGGCCGTATTATTTCAGGCAGCCGTCCATATCGATTCTCCCAGAGGATTCACAGCGAGGTCGGTAAAACAAATTCAATGGTAATTAAAATTTCTGTAACGACTCGTGGCTGCAGGCTTCCGCGCGAGAAATATAGTTTAACACGCCACTATGATTCCAACCAACCGATTTGTCCACGTAACGATCTACGCAAGAAAATTGAATGCGACTTTCCGCCCCGTTTAATCGAACGATCGTCCGTAATTCTATAGATTCATGACGAACGTATGGGCGTTATTCGCCGTGGTATTCCTCGCCATTTACACTGCCAATCTGGCTGCCTTCATGATCACGAGGGAGGAGTTCCACGAGTTCCAGGGACTAGACGATCCACGACTCGCGAAGCCGTGGTCGCACAAGCCGATGTACAAGTTCGGCACCTTACCGTTTAGCCACACAGAGAGCACGCTCGAGAAATATTTCAAGGAGATGCACGCGTACATGAAGACGTTCAATAAAAGCAACGTGGCCGAGGGAATCGAAGCCGTTATCAGCGGGTGAGTAGAGACACCCGATATAACCATCGTTGCTGGATAATAGCACGGCAATCCCTGAAATTACCGGCTGCTGTTCAACTCGGACAACGATCGACCGCGGCCACCGCTTAATACGTCTGTGTATCTCTCCGTCTGTACGAAACTCGTTACCCAAGTTTCGAAAACGCTCTCCGCTCAGCGTTAATCTGTGAATAACTTCATTCGACTTTCGTTATTGCCTGCGAATCCATTTTTCTGCGCTCGACAAACGACGAATGCTTTGGTGTACAGACGATTGTAAAGTGTACGACAGTGCTGTTCGCGAAACTATTCGGTCGCAAAGTATATTATCGAACTTTTCATTGTTACGACATTAGTTTTTAATGGGACTGCTTAATATAAAGTAAAACACGAGAAATAATTATAACATTTATGCGCTATTACGTATTATACATTATTACGTAACTATCGTTATGCACTAAAAAATAATGGTCCGAACGCGAATGATGCTTGGAAACAAGTATTTGGAAACTCTGATAGAGAGTTTTGTTTGTAAAAGGAATTTATTTCTTGGAGGAGTTTTTAAGGAACTGTTCTTGCTTTTCAAACGATGTCTGAAGAAGAACATTCCGTTTTCGACAGAGAACTGGACGCTTTTATTTACGATGGAACAGTTTTGGACTACTTGGTGGCGCAGGACGAAGACTGTCGATTACTGACCGTGGGGTCCTGGTACGCCATGACAGGATACGGTCTCGCATTTCCCAGAAATTCCAAATACCTGCAGATGTTCAACAAACGTCTATTGGATTACAGAGACAATGGTATCGACATCTTCCACAATTCCATTATAACGCGATGACAGATAAGAAAGTGGAAATTCCGAAAGTTATTCCGCTGTGCTCTGGGCTAGAATTTATTTTAGCGAATAAATGCCCTGCGCATTTCAAAAACGTAACCTATCTAATAATAGGTTATTTGAACGCGAATAGTGCTAAATTATTATATATATATATGGAAACCGAGTCCTTTAAAAATTCTAAGCTCTAAAAAGATTTTATTATATTGTAACAAAATAACCTGCGATAAGACGAACAAATATAAATACATTTATCTGCTACATTTGATGTGCTTATAATAACTGCGATTAAATAAAAAGCAATTTTTAAATTTACATTTCATCATTTTAAAAGATTTTATTCAATTTAATAATGTCCTGCTCCCACATATTTTATTAAAATAGAATTCATTCGTTTCAAAATCGAATAATCGGTATTAGAAACTTTTATTAAAACTTTCAAATTATAAGGTGGATCTCGCGAATCACAAAAACATGTTTCCAGTTGTAGAAAATTTAAAAATATAAATCGTAACACAAACTTTTTGAGCGATTCGGTGGTCCCAGTGTTAACGAAAGTCGTTAGCGCAGCTTCGCTAACTTGGATTTCTTTCTAGTAGAAGAAATGTTTAATGTTCCAGGAGATTTGGAGCGGCTCAGAAGGTACTGGATGACGGGTACTTGTAAGCCGGAGAAAGAGGTGCAGAAGAGCAGCGATCCCTTGGCACTGGAACAATTCTTATCGGCGTTTCTCTTACTGATGATGGGTATTCTTTTGGCTGTGGCTTTTTTGCTCCTGGAACATTTCTATTTCAAATATGTCAGACAGCACCTGGCGCGAAGCGACGGCGGCGGTTGTTGTGCGCTTTTCAGCCTGGTGAGTTTCATCCAATCTTCGTAATCTATTATCATTTTGCAAATATCATTCACGATTTTCCAAACAGATTGCCGGAAATCTGATGTGAATTATAAAATGTTACTCCATTGTAAAATCAGTAAATATATTTCTATCTTTTATATTTTATTACTAGATGTCAAATCTCTGTGCAAGGAAAATGTCGATGCATTATTCGCAACTTATTAAGATTGTTAAAGGAAGGAAGAAACTTCTAACTAACTACCGCCCTTTTACAATTAATGCTGGCAATTTTTACTTTACATAAAGATTCGCGGTCTAACGATTACTCGTGCAGACAACTAAAATATAATCGGACAATTGGATTTATTTATTTCCATGTTGGTAAACGTTGTATGTTCAAAGAGCATGGGCAAATCTCTGACATTCCGGGGAGCCGTGTTCGAGGCGCAAGATATCTTGAGGTATCACAGATGCAGGGATCCCATCTGCGACACACACTTGTGGAAGGTGAAACACGAGCTGGACATGGCCAGGATCAGGATACGGCAGTTGGAAAAGGATCTCGAGGCGCACGGGATAAAACCGAGGCAGACTAAGTACGCTTTTCCTTTACATAATTCGATCTAACGTCGTTCTAAGATCAAGGCTGTTCGACTTTGTGTACAGTAATTTAGATTCTCTGATCCGAGCTGATTCGAGAGCATCTCAATGGGAATGTCCTCTTCGACAATGAGTACTCGCGCGACCTGGTCTTTGAAAGGACAATCGAATTCAAGTTTTAGAGTCGATCGATATAAATCGAATCTCACTGCCATCGATAAACGATGGATTTCGTGAAAGAAAAACATACGAACAGAGAGCTTTGTTGAACAGCATTATACAAACGACAGTTTTTTAGCAGTCTGGAATACTTAAGTTTATCCGCTAAGCTATCTATTATCCAAAAAGCGTTGGTACATGCCGAGTTCCACTCCTGTAACTTTGATGAAACTATGGTAAGCGGCGAATTGGGGGGGGGGGGGGCTGACCAAAGTCATTATCTCGACTGTACGTTTTGTTACAAGTTCCTTCTCGTGTTCCTCGATCCTATTACAACCCTCGAATTCCTTCGATACAAGGATGGGAAAATAGACTGAGAAATGTAGCAAAACTTTAGGTAAAATATTGCACAATAGACTTAAGACTGTCGCTTATTTGGTAAAGGAAAATGGGTATGTCAATTGGTGTATATCGCAGATTTCCACGTGCGAGAATTTCCACATACAATCAAAAACGAAATAATAAATCTTCTTCAGGGTGCTTCATCGTTTTCCTCAGATTTCTGTACGATAAAGACATATAAAATCACTTGCATCGTTCATTCCTTACTGTTTATTTTCATTATTTTTATTATATATTGTTGTGTTTGAGATTTTTTTTGCATCGTTGATAAGTCAAGATTTTTTTTATATACTCGATATAGCATTCCAAAAATGTTTTTTTAATTTAAACAAATAATTCCAACGTTCGAACGTTGTTGAGAGAATTGCATCAACTTGAATGTTTGATTTCCAAAAATATGCAAATTTTTACATATATAGTAGAATTACTTCAGAAATTACCTCGACAGTTACGAGTTAATCAACCATCTAATTCAACGCGCACTGTAGTTTCAAACATTTTTTACCTTATTCCCGTAAAGCCGTGCAAGATGTCCTGAATTCTTTCTTAATATATATTGTGATAGGTGAAACGCGCTAGGTACACCTGTTGACTTGTTACTTACGTTCACGTAGCTGTACAATGAGTTAAATGCGAATAGTTTTGCCCGTGCATCTGTGTAAAGTTCTTTTTACAGTTTAGTGAAATTTCGAGATTCGCTCATTGACCAACGAAAAGACTGATATAAAATTTATGACGAAAAAAGACCAGCGTTGGCAACGGACCAACTTTTGCCATCCTATGAGTTGCAGTCCTCTACCACTCTGCCACGTCCGCTTTCTCCGAAATACCACTCGCATCCTGAATAAAATACACTTAGGTGCAAAAACGTGGAACGCTAAAAGCGATACAAAAATCTCTGGAAACGCTAAAAGTCATTTCCAACCTTTTATTATTTCTACACCGTGCTCTTCGCGTCGCGCAATTTTTACTAAATCTCGCTTAAATAGCATTTCATTTTCAGGAGTAAAAATAAATGAATTTAAATTTATAATAGTTATAACTGTGTGCAATCGTATGCGATTTATCTTTTTGTTTTCGTTTCAGAGATGTTGATAAAATTGCTAACTTGTAAAATAATTCGAACTAATATCATTTTACTTCAATTAATATCTCCTGTATACATAAAAAGCAACAATTCGCTGTAAAAGTTTACCGACATTCGATTCGTTGTCTGCGTTAAATTAAGATTAGAGATTTTAGTACAACCAATTATTAGCTCATCTTGCTACCGATTAAAGTATAGCTATTCTATACAAGGCAATTTTTCACTCAATACCAATCCTTTCACATATCATATTCACCTTCCTGCGAATGAAATTCACCCTTTTACAAATTAAATTCATTTATTTATAATTATTTGTAATGAAATTCGTGTTAAATTTAAAAATTGAATGACATTTTATAAACAATCGGTGAAGATATCCGAAGATTAATTGTCTGCAATGATATTTGTTATATTTTGTAAATTTTTGCACCCCAGCGTATCATATGGAGAAGCACAGCTTGTTTCCCACAAAATCCCGGCGACCTGTATTCCAGCATCCCCGTTAACTCCCCCGCGAACACCCGACGCCCACCGATAACACTCTGCCCGTCGATTATGAAAATGTTTCACAAAGCGGAGGTGGACCCGTACAAGAAAGATCTACGCATGCTACTGCATAGTTACTTCACTCGTCTTTCGTAAAGTCTGCAAGGATTTAATCTCGTCCCGCGCGACCACGCCGTGGCAACGGAAAAGCAAAAGCGCAATCGACTGCCACCGAACGTCAAATAATCTCCATCCACGTTCCCGTAGTTCGCTTCTTCGCGAGGTAATTAACGTCCGATTAATTAAAACCACATCTGCCATAAACTCGGAGCGATGGAACGCGCGCGGATCGAGCTTAAATCCTGACCTATATTCTGACGTCACTTGGAGCCTGGTCGCACAGCATGCATTTATTTACCGATATGTATACATATATGTATATATATATTGTATATTTATATATGTATATTACATATTTACAATAGATACATACGTTTACGTTCAGATGCGAATCTTATCATATGATATTCACACTTATAATATATAAGTACGTCAGTATCGTAATATCGGCACAAGCATATACTTTCTTTCTAGTTTTTTCTTATATTTATATCTCCGCCATTTTGTGTACATTGACGATCGTCAGTTTGAGACCATCCCGCTGCTTTGTGAATTGGAAACATATCGTTCCGTGAACGATCAAAGTTCCTACGGAACTTTGAGGTCTTAAGCTCTATTTTCGATAAAGGATGGTCGTATTGATTTTCGTTTTAAGTATGCGTATTCGTCCATAAGTATGCGAACAATTAGCACTTTTAATTATTACTAACCGAATGGAAGAGTATTTCTTCGGATACGATGAAAAAATTGATTGCTAGAATGCCAAAGTTAAGGAAAGAACTTTCAAGAGCACAAAGAGAACAAAATTTAATCTTATTTTTCTGTTATTATCGGTGAAATATTAAATATGCTATTTGTAAAATTCTCTAATACAGTACAAAGTAAATGCAAAAATTATAATAATATTCATGAATAATTTCAAAACTTTTTTCTGATAAACTATCTTTATCAAGGAAGCGTACACGTACTTATAGACGAGGGTGTATGCAAATCTTACACTTTTCGTAGTTGTATTTATTATATGATTTTTACTGTTTAGCCATGTTGAATATTTTTCGAACAATTTACATATTTCAAGTTTACATGGATGTTTCGTTTAGTATTTCGTGTAAAACAAATTCGCACTGATATGCTCTTGCTCTCTAACACCTTGCGCCATTTTTATCACCGAAGTGGAAATACTTAAAAAATATGATGTAGGTTAAGCAGATGTCCCAATTAATGCCACTTCAAGCTCATCGTGTAAGATTAATTAATTATTTTTGAACTTGTTTAACGTAAAAATCATTCCAATTCGCGGCATAATAACGTTTGAGATCTCTTCGATTAACAAAAATTTGTTATATAATAAATAATATGTATATAATTGCTCGTTACTTTTAACAGACCAACGGTAAATTCATCTTTTAATATGAATTTATAAATATATAATAATATATAATAATATATTATTATTTCATCATGAAATCAAACAATTAATGCGATAATTCTAAAGACATCGGCAGTAATTGGCACATCTAGCCTGATCTTATTAGATCCCAAAAACTCGATATAGCTCTAGCTATATTTCAAGTAACACCGAAAAGTAATACAGTTTCAATTATTCGCGAAAAGATATGGCGCACGATTACTGGGTCACCGTTGAACGTGGACAGTTAGAGTAACGTTCAAGTCGATGGTCTCAAAACTTATGACCGATAGTGTATTTTCACTGCATTATTTGAAAGACTGTTTCACGGTGAATCGGCTTCGAATTTTCGTCTATATGAGAAAGTTACACCATGGCAGAACGAGGGAATGATGAAAAAGAAACAAAGAGAGAGCATGGATGTGCAGAAAGGGAAGACGGTGGTTGCAAAAAGCAGAACTTCCCAGCGACGCGAGATCTCGTCGAACTTTCTCAGTTCGAGCCAGGAAAAGTTTCTTTTCAAAACTTCATCCGTATCAACCCGAAGGTATTTGCGGAGTATCCGAGTGAATTGTTTCGGTGGATCGTGAACACTATTTAATTGAACTTCGGGAAAAATCAGACAGAAAAACATTCCATGTTACGTCGATGCGGATAAATAACAATCGCTAAAACCTTCGTTACATTTTTCTTACAAATTTACACATTTATCATTTCGGCGAACTTTTCGACGATGAACAAGAGCAAACAACAAGAGAGTAAAGTTTCAGCGTTCTTACTATTGGAATTATCTTGAAATTTCCTTACAAAGAAATTTTAATATAGTTCTTTATCGCATAAAACTTCTGAGGAATTATTACGTAAAATTGTGAACAAATAAAAGATAATTTCGTCTGATAATTTTTCTTATAAATGCATAGAATCCGTGCGGATAAATGCATAAACTCTCGTTATTGAAATAAAATTCTTTCGTTGTTGAAAAATACACAACCGTTTCCACAAAGTCACCAAGTAGCTCGATATTTGGCGAATACGAAAGAAACAGAGTATCGATCGAAGAGCTGATAAGTACGAGAAAACGCGAGATCTCGTGTCGCGAGATGCTGCTCCTCCATATTAAGAAATGGTTGGTTGCGGAACGATGGTGGGAAACGAAGCCTGGCACATATCCGCGTCGGCTTTTTTAAAGGAGGAAAACCGGAAGTCTCGGCTGGTGGCGAAGATGCTTTCAAAGCTCGGACCGCCATTCACAACCGCCGGAGCCATTGGCGGTGGAAGCTCCGCATCCGCTACCGCCATACTTCGATTCGTAAGTCTGCAACGCCCACAACACGTAAGAATATGTCAGTGACGTAGGAACCGGCGCAAATATTTTCGCGGCACATACCTTTTGCCTTGTTACGAGTTTCCGATGCTTTCGGTATCTCTGACCCCAGAGTAAAATATAGAAGTTCCGAGTTGCCAACTGTCAAAGTTATCTTCGTCGCGTTTGAAAAATGAAGATAGGAAGCGTACATCGAAAGAAATTCCAAAAGTCACTTTTGCCGTTTACGAATAGGTTCTCTTTTGCTTATTAAGACTTTTCTTATTAGAGGACTTGCTTCGTATTTCGGTAAGCTATCGGTATCTTTAACAGGCATTTCCAAATACAAAGCCTGAACGGTTTAACCAGCGAAAGTCCTCGACGGTTAAGAACAAACAAAATATTAATCGACGCAAGTGTGAAAGAAATCGTAGTGCAAAGGGTTATAATTGTGTGAACCGATTAGTTTCTCTACAAACACAGTATCTTCTCGAGCCTGCACCCCGTGAACTCGCCGGAAAGCGAAACAGTTGGCTCGGAATCTTTTTTCCTCGTAACTTTGTAACCAAGAGGCCGCCCAGCTAAGCATTTCTCTCGCGCGGTGATTGCACCCGCGAGATGCGTTTACTGGGTCACGGATACCGAAACTTGGCACCGGAACAACGGCGCTATCGCATAAGCTGCCAAATGTCCGAAAAATTCACGGCTGTTTGTATCGCATCCGGTGTCGCCCTGAGAGGCGACGTTTAAATTGAACCGAAAAACCTGCTTGTCGCGTAACACATGGTACAGAACGTGGCATCTGGCACGTATGCTTAACAGGACACCGTATCGTTCTCCGGCTGAAAACATCTCGCGGTGCTGCGCGATTTGAAATTCTAAATTATATCCCGCGCTGCTCGAGCTCCCGCAAGAAATTTCGAAGGGCGAGCAATTCTCATTAAAATTCGCTAATTTACATTCGGCACCCGCGTTGCGCTGCTAAAAACGCTCTCGCGTGTATTCGCGTTTCGTCGAAAGAACGCGTTCCTACGTCATTCCGAACTGTCCCGTTCATCCTCGCCTCCCGGAGGACACGCAGAAAATCAACGAGTCGATATTCTGTATCCGTCTTGTTTGTTCCGCGAAGCGAACGGAAAATTGCGGCCGCGTCGGGATGAGAATAGTCGAAAGGAATGTTTCGGTGGTTGCACAGCGGTGCTCTCTTAATCGATGGAGATTCTACCCGAATCTAACCTGTCAAATATTGTCGCGAGGAGTACAGTGAGTTGCAAAAGTCTGCATAATGATAATGTCTTTGAAATATTTCTAGGAAACAATGTTTTCGGAAGTCTTGTAAATGTTATCGCTAGACCGTGTGGATCTTTATATAAATAATTTATTTATCTCTTAACTACTACATCTATTAAAACGTACGTAACCGCTACAATTCTCACGGACCGCTTATGTTTATTGCATTATTCGTGACATAAAAGGGTTAAATAAAACATCAAAATTACTTTGCACGTTAACAATGATGGGGACCGCGCACAAGTTCGATCGACTAGATGATAGCGTAATAAAAACGCTTCTTCTTTTACAATTTTACGATTTTTATTATGTTATTTTCTAATTATATTATTACCACGGATCATCGCCGCAGTCTGGCAGACCGGAAACAGTAGTTAATTAGAAATAGTAGAAAATTAATTAATTTTCTGATAGTTTTTAATGTACCGCTTCTAGATGCGTTTTTATGCGAAATAATGAACATTTAATATACATACGTATAATTTTGTAACTGACTGTATCCACTCGGACAATTGCCAGCTTTTAATTACGCGAATAGATACTAAAATTAAATTTACATAAACTTATTCCAGACATCGTGTTTGCAAATTTCGAGATCACTGAAATCGATGAGATTGTACAAGATACCTTTAAAAAGTAACGAGACTGGACCGTAGCTTGTCATAAAGAATTTATCGTAGAGAATTTTCGGAGTTTTCAAGGTAACCTTCTCTTTTTTAATCACGATCACATATTTTTTCAAATATTAGTTGACGCAGCTCGACATTTCCTATAAAAAGAAAAAGTATCGACTTATGTATGTCGACAAATTAGTAGCAGACATTCGGTATGCATTTTTGGCATAAGCACAAATTATTTTTCATAACATAAATCGTGTAACACCAGTCTCGTTACAGGATAGACACGATTCCTTTACGCTCTATGGTAAACGGTTACCAAATAGACAATGGCTTTCCATCGTTCTCGACAATTCCGCAAAGGAAGCGGTAAAATTGCTGTCTCAGCGGAACGAAAAGAATCGGAAACAGTATTTCGAACGTCGTACAAATCCGTGCACCTCGGGGAGATAATAAAACCGATCCCGCGGGGCTCGATCGGGTCCGGTTCCGTAACGATCGCCGTTCTTAACTTTTTCGATTCCTGGCGGTACCGATATAACCGTAGAAGAAAAAAGATCGGACAACGACCCACGAGCTCCGCGAGCATCGACGACTACGTCGCCGACGATCAAATTTGATAATCGTGAAAAAGTAGATCAGCCGCTTTGCTTGTAGTTGAAACGAGTCTGCATACACGCATTCAGATATCTACTTTATTTTTTTATTTTTCAAACTATCTTTCGTATCCTTCATAGAATCCGCCCACTTTTATTCATGTGCTCGATAGCATGGCATGCAAGTTGAACGGCGAACTTTTCGATCGGGTCGTGGAGAATGTGTCGAAAGCCCGTAGCAGGCGATCAATCGTCTGCGCTAGTGACAGGCTAGCAAAGCAAGGGAACCGATTTATTTATAAACCAAGGAAATTGCTGGGAATTAGGAAAATCCAGGAAAAGGAAATAGCGTAGGAGCGAGTCATTTGCGCAGAATTGTCCGGCGTGGTCCAGCATTGGAATTTCGAATATTTAGTTGGTCCCAGTGGTCGAAAATGGGATAGAATTTATCGCTCCGACCAAGGAGGGTAACGAGAAGTTGGATATTTCGTTCTGTATACAATATACAACCCACAAAAGTGTTCTATACCTTTTAGAATGTAACAACTTTGTTCGCACTCGACTGGATAACTTGAATTTTATTTAGATTCAGATGATAGAAGGACCAGAGTCTATTACAGAAAGACAAAAATCATTTTTTTTTAATAAAAGAAACGCGATTTTTCGATAGATTAATCTTTGTCCAGTTTTAGATTACATTTTATAAGGTGTACGAACACTTTCGTGGATCATCGTATAATGTTCTATTAATCTTTAAAATGTGAAATATGGTACATATTTATTATTACGCAAATAATCTATCGAATAATCCATGTGGAAAATTAAGTAAGTTGCGATTGTATCGAATAAATATATCATGGGAGAACTATTGAAAATTTAGAGCAAATGAAACGGAGCAATTCGAATTAGAACGTGTTTTAAATCGTGTTTGCTAGAATTTTATCGTCGACCGCGCTATAAGTATAAAAATATAATCTGGAGTCTAATGCTGGACCACGCTTTCTCTATATCCGTAATAACCTATTTATAAGCAACGCGCAGAATTCGTTCTCGTAGAAATCATTACAAGGAAATTCTTTTCAATCTAGATTCATCGACGCCATCGATGTCGCCAGGCCTAGAGACATGACCAGGAACCACGTCGTCAGCACAGAATATGCAAACAAATTTTTGCCACCGGAAATTTACAGGTAAACGGCGACCGAGTTTTGCGACTCGGAGCAATCCTTTACGAGTAAAACTCTCGTGAAATCCGTATATCATGTTACTGAAAAAAGAGAACGTAACGTAATCCTAACTTTACTCGGAAATGTACGTCTTAAGAGGGACTTTCCGTTTAAGACAAGTATAATGGGAAGCTTCGTACTCCATAAAAGTTCAGCAAAACGATAAGAACGTTCTACCATCGCATTTCCCCAAAATTTCTAATAAGCAATAAATCGTAGTGTGTAAAACTCGAGCGGTAAACATTCAATATTTGCCATCGGCAAAGTAGCGCCGCGGAAATCAGCGAAAATTCGAAAAGTTTTATTTCCATAGCCGTTGCGTCTACTCCACTTCCCGCGAAAGCTTTCGGTGATAGGGGTGATAGGATAAAATTTGGTGCATTCTCAGCCGACAAATGCAAACATCAGACCCTCTCGCGGAATCCCAACCATCCTCCCGAATGTACTCGCGGCGAACGGGAAGGATTTCGGCGAGGATTTTGCGCGAGATACTATCCTTTCGCGGTTTCTTAAGCTAACGAAAGAAATCGAATTCCCTGTACAGGATTCCGGACGACGAAGCCGCCAGGACGGAGATAGCCGAGATGGAAACAGTTCTGTGATCGTAGAAAATCGGCGGCGATTGACCAGCCTCTTCAGTGCAAAGGGAAATGGGACCGTGAGGATCCCTTCGGGAGAAAGTCGGTCCGCTTTCCCATTTTGGACAACGAGTTTCATGCCTCGCGGCCTCACGAGGCAAGCAAGGCTTCCATTGAAACGAACCATCCGAGAGAGTTAGACACAGAGAAGCGAACAGATACATGAGAGAGAGAGAGAGAGAGAGAGAGAGAGAGAGAGAGAAAACATGAGAAAGGAGAGAAGTATTTTTGGGCTCCCTCTGAAGCTTCCAGACGAGCCCCGCCGAACACACGCCGAGCACAGAACCAAATTTCGTACGCGAAGAGGACACGGGAGAACGTTCAGTGCCTATCATAGAAGAAAACGAGAGCCAAGAAAAGAAACAACCGAGGATGGATCGTTTTTCACGGTTTGACGTTCGTAGACGAGTCTGGCCGCCTCTTCCAAGACTATTCATTGTTCCTTCACGAAGAACGACGAGCTGCGTCCGATCGTTCGTGGACACTTAACACTTTTTACAGTTCGCGGTGTTTGTCGTACCGTTCGATAACAAGTTTCAAGAACTTCCGGCATACGTAGCCGATCGAGACGCTACGGTCGCGTACGTTTGTATCTTGCAAGGATCGCAGAGAATCGAACCGATCCCGGTAGAGCCTGGATTAAAAAAAAAAAGAAGAAAAAACGGTAGGCTCGAGAAACCAACCGCTGTTCTACCGCAGACGAGAAAATGCGATGGACGCACGTACTGTTTCTAATACTCGAAAGAGGACTCATTGTTCGCTGATTCTCTGGTAGTCCTTTCGATTTGAATTTCTTCGCCTTTGCGGGCACGTTCAGGCTCGATTTTTCGACTTACCGAGCGAACCGCGTTCCGGGAACCTGAGACACGCGCGGATCGAGGGATTCGCTTACGTACCGGGCGTCGCGCAAACCTCCGATCGTCGTTCCGGAAGGAACGCGATGCCTGGCCAAGGTGATCCGACGAGAATCCAATCGTAAGTTTATTCAGGCAGCAACAATGCAATAGATAGTTTATTGAAATTCCTAAATCTTTTGAGAACTCGTTAGAACTTTGTACGTTACTGCGGCCCGTTCTCCGAAAAATCGGGCGAAATTCGAGAGCCAACGATTGTCAGTTAAAACGAAAGCCAGGTCGAGCAAACTGGATGGACGAGAGACCAGGAATAACGTGGAATGGCTATCTTGATGGGAAAATGTCAATGTGTATCATACGAGGTAATTACGGCGTACGAGTGTGCCATGCGTATACACGTTATACATTCATATACATATATACATACACGTACATATATAAATATATATATATACATATACATATATATATTTAATACGTAATGTACGCGAAAACTACTATTACTACTAAGTATGTATATTGTGGTAAAAACAATGAAATATTCTAAAAGAAACCTACTTCCAGGACGTAATATGCTCAACAAAAGTACACGTATGTTAAATTCACCGGGTGTAACGATTAAATAAATACGTGAACGAGTGTCAGGTGTCGCGCGAACTAATTTTTACGGGGTTAAGCGAAGAGAGTGGTCCAGTAACTGCGGTCTTGCCAAACATTCTCGAAACATCTTGGTTCAAAGTTGCTCTCGAAGCAGAAAACAATTCGTAAAAGTATCTTTCGATTCTTTTCCGTTTCGATTAAGTAATTTCTCATTTATATCCGAGATACGTTGCATTAAAAGCATGCCGTAATTACATAAAGTTATGTCAGGTTTTAAGAGTCGAAGCATTAGGTTGGCCAGGAAGCTCGTGCGGTTTTTAACAAGTAAATACGAAGCTTCTCTTTTTAAATATGTGTATTTTGGCCATTATTACAATATATACGATCTTTTCCCATCTTCTCCAAGAAAAATAATTTCTTGTCTATCCTTGACAGAACTGGTAACGCAACGAAATTTACAATTCTTAAATTACGATCGGGCANACACAGAGAAGCGAACAGATACATGAGAGAGAGAGAGAGAGAGAGAGAGAGAGAGAGAGAGAAAACATGAGAAAGGAGAGAAGTATTTTTGGGCTCCCTCTGAAGCTTCCAGACGAGCCCCGCCGAACACACGCCGAGCACAGAACCAAATTTCGTACGCGAAGAGGACACGGGAGAACGTTCAGTGCCTATCATAGAAGAAAACGAGAGCCAAGAAAAGAAACAACCGAGGATGGATCGTTTTTCACGGTTTGACGTTCGTAGACGAGTCTGGCCGCCTCTTCCAAGACTATTCATTGTTCCTTCACGAAGAACGACGAGCTGCGTCCGATCGTTCGTGGACACTTAACACTTTTTACAGTTCGCGGTGTTTGTCGTACCGTTCGATAACAAGTTTCAAGAACTTCCGGCATACGTAGCCGATCGAGACGCTACGGTCGCGTACGTTTGTATCTTGCAAGGATCGCAGAGAATCGAACCGATCCCGGTAGAGCCTGGATTAAAAAAAAAAAGAAGAAAAAACGGTAGGCTCGAGAAACCAACCGCTGTTCTACCGCAGACGAGAAAATGCGATGGACGCACGTACTGTTTCTAATACTCGAAAGAGGACTCATTGTTCGCTGATTCTCTGGTAGTCCTTTCGATTTGAATTTCTTCGCCTTTGCGGGCACGTTCAGGCTCGATTTTTCGACTTACCGAGCGAACCGCGTTCCGGGAACCTGAGACACGCGCGGATCGAGGGATTCGCTTACGTACCGGGCGTCGCGCAAACCTCCGATCGTCGTTCCGGAAGGAACGCGATGCCTGGCCAAGGTGATCCGACGAGAATCCAATCGTAAGTTTATTCAGGCAGCAACAATGCAATAGATAGTTTATTGAAATTCCTAAATCTTTTGAGAACTCGTTAGAACTTTGTACGTTACTGCGGCCCGTTCTCCGAAAAATCGGGCGAAATTCGAGAGCCAACGATTGTCAGTTAAAACGAAAGCCAGGTCGAGCAAACTGGATGGACGAGAGACCAGGAATAACGTGGAATGGCTATCTTGATGGGAAAATGTCAATGTGTATCATACGAGGTAATTACGGCGTACGAGTGTGCCATGCGTATACACGTTATACATTCATATACATATATACATACACGTACATATATAAATATATATATATACATATACATATATATATTTAATACGTAATGTACGCGAAAACTACTATTACTACTAAGTATGTATATTGTGGTAAAAACAATGAAATATTCTAAAAGAAACCTACTTCCAGGACGTAATATGCTCAACAAAAGTACACGTATGTTAAATTCACCGGGTGTAACGATTAAATAAATACGTGAACGAGTGTCAGGTGTCGCGCGAACTAATTTTTACGGGGTTAAGCGAAGAGAGTGGTCCAGTAACTGCGGTCTTGCCAAACATTCTCGAAACATCTTGGTTCAAAGTTGCTCTCGAAGCAGAAAACAATTCGTAAAAGTATCTTTCGATTCTTTTCCGTTTCGATTAAGTAATTTCTCATTTATATCCGAGATACGTTGCATTAAAAGCATGCCGTAATTACATAAAGTTATGTCAGGTTTTAAGAGTCGAAGCATTAGGTTGGCCAGGAAGCTCGTGCGGTTTTTAACAAGTAAATACGAAGCTTCTCTTTTTAAATATGTGTATTTTGGCCATTATTACAATATATACGATCTTTTCCCATCTTCTCCAAGAAAAATAATTTCTTGTCTATCCTTGACAGAACTGGTAACGCAACGAAATTTACAATTCTTAAATTACGATCGGGCAACGCATCGAGTATAAAACGATTATTCCCGCTATTATAAACCAACTGCTGAAATCAGATATTCGTTCGATGTTACTGAACCACTTCGTAATTGAAACTTATTTAAATGAAACCGAAGAAAGTGCCGAACGATTAGCGACAGAAAAATTGATAACTAAATATTTTACAATACGCAACGGTGCCTGAGGCAGTGGACATTTCAATTAGGAGCGATTTGTAGCTTGTAAAGGACTATTTTTTAAAGGAACAAAAGCATCGATTTCCACGCGAATTCGCGAATGTTCACCGCGCCGATTCGACGTCCTGACACTCCGCAAGTTTTACAAAAGGAAACCTGTCTCGGTAACGGATAGCTTGTGAGTGGTGTCCCATCTGAACCCGCGACCTCCACCGCCCCCCCCCCCCTCACACCCTCCAACAAACAAGAACTTTGTGTCTGTAGGAATCGACAGTGATAGAATTAATGGTCTAAAACTACGTCCGCTGTACATACAACGCAATTTACCGTATAAGCCACGAAGCGAGCCACAGAAAATACATTTCATTTTCTTCGAATGTTTCGTAACTTACGTTGACCAAAGTTTGCTGTAAAAACGCTGCAACCGATCCGTAAGGAGAAAAAAGTGTAAAATATATCGTAGATCATCTTGAGTCCGCGTTAACCGTTGCGTGTCGTCTATGTAACTTAAGGACTACGTTCGAATCTGATTGCTAGACTACGGATTTTTGTGCACGTAAAATATGCAAAAAAAAATGACACGCGACGCTTATGCTCGTAAGATTTTGAATACGCACGAGAAATATACGTTTATACGCGGAAAATATGCATATCCGCGCGAGCATAGATTTATTGCATATAATAATTGGCCTTAAATTAAATCACAAGTAATATTTCCATGTTTCTGGAGTTGAAACGTTCACGTTTGTCGTTATATACCGAAAATAATCGTTCTACATCACGGCACGTGGTGTACCAGAATTACAGCAATAATTTCGTGATACACAACCTAGCTTTGTTTCGATATTACCGCTTAATATATTTTACTTTTTTCCGAATTTGTTCGCCGCTACTGCTAGAAATATTCTGTAAATCGGTGTTGCTGTCGATGGATATTCGTATAGAATTTGTGTCAACGTATGCGAAAATTTGAACAACTTAAGTCTGTTGGGATACATAATTAGTTAAATATAATAGTTATGCAAGCAATATTTACATACATACGGGTATACATGGATACGTTTTCTAACTAAAATATGCAAAACATATGCAAAATAGCATATCGAAATGTGCGATTGCATAAAAATCCGCAGTCTACCGAGCGCCCATGCAACATTTATTTAGAGACTGCTGCGGTTCGAGTCGAACCGATTCGAGGAGAATCGAGCAGAGTTTCGCAAATTTATCTCAACCACGGAATTTCTGTCTACCACGGAAAATATCAAACACCCGTTTCCAAAAGCTACAACCTTTGCGACTTACGCCTACGCGGTGTAAGAAAGCGAGGTGAACCGACTTCGACCCTGCTCCTGTGATCTTAAAGGTTTACTTCCGATACGATCCGCTAGGGGCTCCGGTGAAACTTTCGGACTATATCGCTGCAGTAACACTACCGTAGTGGCGCGACACTTGCGCGAATATAATTTGAAACCGATGGAAATATTAGCACCTGCCGCGGGAACTCGTGGAAGTAAACTGTTAGCGTCACAGAAACTTTTGTCACGGGGTAACCGTCGTCGGTCTACCGCCTCTCCCTCTTACGCCCTACGTCGAGATCTCCGCTGCAGAGCACTTGTTTCGGCTCCCGGTGTGCGAGGTAAGAAAATCGTGGCGCTTAAATTTTGTTTCGAGGATCGACGCTTGCTCAGAAAAAATTCGGCTGCGGGAACCGCCGAGCTGATTTCCCGCGAATTACTAGACG